ACTTGTCGCAAGCTCGCGCGCGCGCAAATTTATCAATGCGTAACGCAATTGAGCAATATAATATACACCGCGCGCGCGCGCGGCTGTGCTGCAGCGAGATTCGGTTATTATACACACACACCACACACAGACACTTACGCGCACGTATGCACAAAAAATCAACAAAAAAAAATGAATTGAATAAATAAACAACTGTATACGCCTCGCAGCTGCGAGTGTTTCACTTTCGATTTATATTATTATACACATAATGATTCGTGATAAATTTTTCATTTTTCGCGGACAACTCGCCACGCTACTCGCTCGTTTCTGTACGTATTATACATCATAATTCGAACGTGGGGCATTCCACGCGCTGCACTGCAGGAAATTAGAATTTTTAGCGTGCCGCGTGGTATTGGCTCGTTTAGCGCGCGATTTATAAACGATTTAATTACCGCAGCTCGAAGTTTATACACGTGCTGCGGAGGAGAAGAAGTATAAAAAAATTACTCGAAATGCTGATATAATTAGCCATCGGGGCGGGCATCGGCCCCACACCATGTATACATAATGTACCATTATATACATCGACTGCTTCGACTCGTTTGAGTAATATCACGCGGAGTTTTTCGGGCTAAAATTGCAAATTAACGCGAGTCGCGTGCGCCGATGTAGTTTTTATACGTATACAGCGAAAAAGTAGAAGTAGTTTTAACGTCTGGCAGGCAGCTGCTGCTGCGCGGAGGTGTGTATCTCTCGTGCGTATAACGTTATTATGTATGTATAAATACATACGTATACAACGTTGGGTTATACGCTTTTGATCGTTAATTAGACTCAGCGCCGAGTAAAGAATAATAATTGCACCGTTTCACCCACACACATAGCCGCTTGTAATAAAGTACACGCATAATCATATGTATGTTTATAATATTATTAAACGATTATTCTCTATTGTGCGTCGGATTTTCTCATAAACGTGGCAGGTCATAGACATCAATCAAACGCTCCTATATGGGTACATTGGGTACACGTCAATAACGATCGACGTCTATCGTGGATATATAATATCGTTTGCCAAAAATTCAGCCGAGATGATAAATCGGTCGAAGTTGACTGCTCACGCGGCATACACGAAAAAAAACATCTCCTGCACGCGCAACTATGTACACAAACTACGTATAAGCAAACTTCAAATATGAGTTGCCAACAATGTCAGTCAGGATCGATCGGTTAACAATCGGCGCGTTCGGCTATAATATTTAATAATCTCTTGCGATCGTTAAGCAGCTGCAACTACATTGTCGTAATCTTTCGGTGTGTCGTCGTCGTCGTCGCTCTTTGAACTTTGCGTTTATTATTATATATAAGCAGAAAACTACCCGAGCGAGCTCCTATGCTATATATATCGAAGTCTCAATTATACACGTATAATATACATCGGCCTGTAGTCGCGCCGCGTCCGCTTGGTTGGCAGCGCGAAATGCGGCGATACGATAAGCACGAGAGCAAATCCGGGTCGTCGGCCGGATTTTATTGTACTTACATACACACACACACACACACACACATAGACACACACCACACGTTATTATCCGTTCACAGGTCGAATACAATGTAAGTCCTTATATACATACGTCTTGTATATTATAAACGTACTACCATGAGCTGCCCACGCGGCTGCGGCACTGCATATAATAATATATATCGATATATATCTACGCGCGCTAATTCATCGATTATTCTCCTCTGTATGTATAGCACGGGGTCGCGCACCATATATTGTAATACGTCCATATGGAATAGAATATTTCAATGCCGATCTCAATGCACGGATGAAATGATACGCGCGCGATCGAGCATCGCTCGCGTTTCGTATAAAATAATGTATCAATTACCGCGCGTCGATCGGAGCTGGTCGCCCTTTAAACGATTCACTTCTGTATAATGTGCGAGAGATATGTATTGCACAAAAGCGCGAGCTGCGGAGAGTCGAGAGCGCGATCGGCACGCGTCCTTGCCGATCGTACTTCGTGCGAGTGTATGTGTGCAGCACCTCCCACTCGCAGGAGCAATTTTCCAAAGTATCTCTCGCGGACGTCTATTATACTGTGTAGCACCGCAATTCGCGTCGTTGTGTGATTGGCAACTCGCTCGTGACTTTTTCTCATAAAAATTGTTGAACGAATCCACGATGATATATTCGAGTCCTCTCTACGCGATTAGAAAACTGTAGTATGAATTCGACGCGGCTCGTTTGTCTTTGATAATCAATTACCATTGTCGTCGTGCGTGTACTTTATTTTTCATTCGTTTTCTTTATCCGACGCTCGTGCCAACGAAAGTTCGACGTATACATGTATAATGTTTAGACCGACTCGACTCGAGCGCGTTGTTTGCTAAATACCTAATCGAGTGAAAACACATTGCGCACTGTATCGAAAACCTCGAGGAAGCTACGCGCGTGCGTAGCTTGTTTCATTTTGTAAACCAAACCCCTAAAAAAAAAACCACGTAAAATTCGTGAACGTAGTCAAACGTGCATAACCACACGTACGGTAATGCGATATATCAAACGAAACTGGTCCAATTATCGGGTGCGTATAGCGCACGAGTTTGTGTAAGGCGTAACTGTGCGTGGGCTCATTTTCAATCATTATGAATCCACGCGTAATGAACGCGAAAATTTCACTCCTTTCGCACGTTGTTTACGCTGTATATTATATACAAAAAAATTATGATTTTTTCCCGCGACTTCGTAAGCGGGCGCGCTTGAGGACGCGCGCGCGCAGATCGTTCCACTTCCGGAATGGGCGGCGGTCGCGGAGCACTTTAAGATACGTGTATGACGATTTTACGTTTTTTAATTCGCGTGAATCCCCGTGAAATTCGATTACATCGCAAGAAAAGAACATTAAAAAAAAAGATTACAATAAAAAAAAGAAAACGAAGGTACGAAATCCGCAGCTGCGCGCGCGCACGGGGAAAAATTAATTAGCGACCGCGCGATATCGAGAGCTGCCGATTCGACACTCGGCGTTTTTATGTATTACAAATATACGAGTTTGTAACGATAAAACACACACACAAACCACACGTACGCACGTCACGCGCACGTGCGTCGTGCTACACGTATTATACGTATACCGATCGATCGAAGGGAAAAACCGGAAAAAAGTTGCCATTCATATAGCAGGCAGCACATATCTATGCGATCGACTTCATTAAAGGAAAAAATTGGAAAAAAAAATTCGAAATAATAATTAGTCTCGCGCGTTCGCAGGTATCGAGTGGATACAATCACGAGCGCTTTTATATACACATACTTATATTACATGCAGGCCTGGAGATTAAAAGTATGTCATCCGGCGAGCGATCGAGTCACCGAGTCGCCGGGTTGACGAAATTTTTCAATAAAATATCAGCGCGGATTCTAATAACGACATTACATCAAATAACAGTAATTAGATCGAAAATCATTTGCATGACGGGCATTAATCGAGCCAATAATTTACACGAATCAAACCGACACACACATACGCACAGATTGGCTTGTATAAATAACTATACGCTCGTTATTAAAATTACGCAAGTTTATGCAGCGGCTGTTGCTGCTGAGAACATATTTATATACAAACAGAAATGATCGTCCCGCAGAAAAAAATGAATAGTATGATCAACGAGTGCGTATACAAGCAATATATATACGTACGCACAAATATCATATATATAATAACAACAATATATGATCACTTGGGCAATTTGTACACGCCACGCTGCAAAAGTAATATCTTATTGGCCAATGCGTATCGGTCTTTGCCGCTGCGGTACCGCACATGCATAATAAGGTTCGAATGCGAGATCGGTAAAAAAAAAGCCTCGTGCGTACCGAGACTCGAGCTCGAAAAACAACATCTATTAAGCGTTAATACGGCGGCTTGTAATCTGTCGGGCCATTAGCATACATTTTAATATACGCGCTCTGCACCCCTCATAACGTCGACGAAAAAAACAGTTTGTATTTTCGGTTTGCGCCTCGTATTAACGATTTCGAGAATATATTTCTTCATCGAGCGCGCGCGCGGACATGTACAGTACCGAGTATTATATGCACATTAGAAGTTGTGTTCGATGGAAATCGCGCGCGGCTCATTTCGAGAGTTCGGGGTTTGATTGACCTCTACACACATACACAAGTGCGTACTACATGGGCATTACAAGAGAGCCGGTATAACATATAATGTGTGGACTGTGGCGGCGGTGGCGGCTAGTGTGCATAAGTAAGCCGGGCGCGCGTAAGGAGAGGCGAGGATAACTGGATAATTGATCCGGGGCAATTATACATGAATATTCAACGCGAGCGTGTTTACATTATAGCGTGTCTCGCGAATTTTTTAAAGTCTCTATTTTAAAATTGATTATATATTTTTCTTGCGTGGAGTGGACAGAGAGAACGAGAGAGAGAGAGAGAGAGAGAGATAAAAGGGAGAAACACGGGCGATTAAAATGTACAATAGCTAAAGCAGCTACTGGCGAAGATCGCGCAATTACACATATATTTTCGTCGATTTACGTACAGCACGTGTCGTATTATATCTATGTTCAACTGAACACTCGAGTCTCCGACATCTAGATGCGCACTTTTTGCTTCCGTAATGTTTGTTTCCTCCCAGGATTGCATAATCGGTACTTATATACCTTTTTTGATTTTGTTCGCCAAACTTTATTCTTCCAAAAAATTTGTATACGAAATAGCGTAAACAGTTTTGAAGCGATTAACTTTCCATAGACGTAAATAAATCGAGAAACAAAGTTTGCTGGATTTAGGTCTGGAATTATAAAAGAATCGATATATCAGTAACTTACATTTATAAGAATGTGTTTTATTTCCTTCAAACATTTATTGATTTCTTATAAACTTGGACATTCTTTTTACATGAAAATGTATAATAATAACAAAAATAGTAGAATGAGAAAACTTTTCAGGAAAATTAATATTATGATATATGGAAATTTTTCTATTGCTTTTCCAAACCTTTTACATTGAATTTGATGTGCCCTTTAATGCGTGAGTGATGCATCGAATCAATGTGGATTTTTAGTTGACTCTTCTGTATGAATGTTTTTCCACATATGCCACATGTACAGGTAACACCTATGTGCATCTTATTGACGTGGGTCTTCAAATTAAATTTTCGTGAAAATGTCTTTTCGCATAAGTCACACGAGTATTTGATATCATTATGCACCGAATCCATGTGGGTTTTCAGATTATATTTATGCGAAAATTTCTTGCCGCATTTATCACATGAATGCTGGATACCATTATGCACCGTGTCAATGTGGTTCTTGAGATTAATCTTTGATGAAAATGTCTTTTCGCATAAGTTACACGCATATTTAATATCATTATGCACCGAATCAATGTGGGTTTTCAGATTATATTTATGCGAAAATTTCTTGCCGCATTTATCACATGAATGCTGGATACCATTATGCACCGTGTCAATGTGGTTCTTGAGATTAGTCTTTAATGAAAATGTCTTTTCGCATAAGTCACAGGCATATTTATTATCATCATGCACTGAATTTATGTGGGTTTTCAGATTAGATTTTTGCGAAAATTTCTTGCCGCATTGATCACATTTATGTTTGGTACCATTATGCACCGAATCAATGTGGTTCTTGAGATTAGTCTTTAATGAAAATGTCTTTTCGCATAAGTCACAGGCGTATTTATTATCATCATGCACTGAATTTATGTGGGTTTTCAGATTAGATTTTTGCGAAAATTTCTTGCCGCATTGATCACATTTATGTTTGGTACCATTATGCACCGAATCAATGTGGGTCTTGAGATTAGTCTTCAATGGAAATTTCTTTCCGCATAAGTCACACGCGTAGTTAATACCATTATGCACCGAATCCATATGGGTTTTCAGACTAGATTTATACGAAAATTTTTTGCCGCATATATCACAAGCCTGGGAAACACCATTATGTTTCGAATTTATGTGGGAATTGAGACTACTTCTTTGTGTAAATTTTTTGCCACAATTATCACATGAGTGGGTGACATTTTTATGCACTCCATCAATGTGGACTTTTAAATAATTTTTACTTGAAAATTTTTTTCCACATACTTTACATGCGGGGTTTTTTTTATCGTGCACTCTATCGATATGTGTTCGGAGCATATTTTTGTTGTTAAACTTTTTAGTAATTCTTCTTTTTTCATTTTGTTCAATAAATTTACAGTTGAAATTTGAATTCGATTCCTCTGTAACTTCACAAATAATTTCCTGTTTCACTTCCTGTGTGTGTTCCATTTTAATTATCTTTTGACTTTTACATACATCGCTATCTTTCAAATTTTGCAAGTGATTCGGAGAGTAGTTGACAATTTGTTTAACTAACGGTAAATCTATTTTGGGTTTGAAATCTTCACATTCAAAAACTATTTCCATTGCTTTACCGAGTTCAGTTTCTTGATTTTCGTCACATTTACGTAGGTTATGATTCTGTTGAAATATCACAACAAATGAGAGTCACCATAAAAAAACAACTATAATACCAGTTACATAAAAAATCTTACTGTATTTTCTCGTGGAAATGGTGAGAGCTGGAAGTTTTTCAAATCGGGTTTCTCATCAATCATTTCACAACCATTTCCGATAAGCGACATATCAGCAGGTTCCTCTTTGATTCTGAAATAACCTCAATCAGATCAATTGTTTTTTCATGATATATTTATAACTTTCGTAAATGAAAAGTACCTGTCAGTAAAATTAAATAAACTACCGGATTCCATCGTTCTTCTTTGAAGTTTTTTTCAATGATTAATCTTTCTATATACGATACGATGTGCTGATCAAGTCAACTTACACGAAAAAACTCAAAACTGGCGCAGAGCACTGAGCACTGATCGAGCTGTGGGCTCGTCGTTCAATTCGCGCGAGGCGTGCATAACCTCTCAGTGTGTTGCCCGAAAATCGCGTTGTTTTGCCGTGTGTGCAGGTAGCGCTGCACTACCCTATATTGAAGACCTATCGGCTGTACGAAACTACTCTTTTCCAGTCTTTTCGAATATTTACAAATCATTATGATGTAAAGTTTCAATGTATAGTCATACGTAAACCCAGCAACATCAATTCATTATGATTATATTATTGAAGAAATTACATTATATATCTCATGTCCAATGAGTGGTTATCCAGTATTATATCAATTAATTACGAAAAAATTAGAATTAAAAAAATTATTCTACGATGCGCGAGTCGCACTGAGCATGAGCTAGAACATTACAAGCAGTCTAGTTCGAGTCAAGCTCGTTTATGGAACTGTGAAAAAAAATTCGCAAGCGTCGCGCCGGCTTGATATGTGCGTCGATTTTGGGGCCCTCGGCGCACGTTCGAAAAACACATTGTGCTGCTGCTGCTGCTGCCGTTGCGAATTTTGCAACCCAATCTTTTCTCACGCTGGAAAAATACTTCGTATACGACTGGCCGTTTCTTAAATTGTTTTTTCTTATTTTTTTTTCTTCTCCCTCGCGTGTTGTACGAGATTTTAGACGCGCGCTCGCGCTTATCTCGCTCGCGATTTTGTTTTGATTTTTTGTTTTTTTCCTCCTTTTTTCGCGTCTCTTTTTTGTGACCCGCTCTAGTTGGCCGACTATAAATGAATCTGGCCAATGTTCTCTTTCTTTCTACATGCTGTCGAAAAATACACACACACACACACACACACAGGCGGGCGGTCCATATATGCCGCCGCTCGCGAGATATCATTTTTTTGTCATTATGTAGTTTACAGTACGCGCATACCGTATACGTGCGGCTGGATATTATACTGTTTGTTATTGCGCTGGTATATGAACCGTAGGTCCACCGCAAACATACACGCACAGACACACGTACGTGTATCTGGCCGAGGTACACATTTATCTAGACGTTTTATCAAATTGTAGGTCAGTCGAAAAAATGAAGGAAAAAAAAAGTTAATTACGTACTCCGTCGGCGGGTACGAGCGCCTTTTTTTCGAAAGGAAAAGATCGCGCGTTGGACAAAACGGTCGCAGTCACTCCATGACAATATAAAATAATGACTCTTTCATCGACGCTTCGAATGCGTGTAATATGGTTTTTTTATTTTTCTTATTATTTTATTGCCGAAGATGCTGAAAAGGCGGAAGGAGAAAAAAATCCATCTCGATCCGAGCGCAAGTACGCGTGGTAAGTATCGGTTGTGCTTTAATTGCACACAAACAATTCGCAGCAACAGCATCAGCAGCAGTAGCTCTTAACGTAATAATAAAGAGCATATATGTGTATAGCTGCTTATATTATCCTGTGAACTTTCACGTTAATACAACACGCACATACACGTACACTCTATGCATGTTTACGTATATGTGTGTGTGTGCATTATAAACCGCGGGGAGATATCGCGCGTCAATCGATTAACACGCTTATGAATTATATATTTTCCAAAGGCCGCTCGCGGCTCTCGTGCATAGCATACCCCAGCGCGTATACATACATATTGAAACAATAATTATGAATTATTAGTCAACAAGTGGAGTTTTGCCATATATTATACGTACATATACACACACGGGTGCAAAAGAGTGTTTAATCGGCGGCAGCAGCAAGCGCGGCAACTATCAGTAGTAGTACCAGTAGTAGTAGTAGTATTAGTAACTCTCCCTCTCGCTGCATAGCACGTGTATTATACACGAGTACCTATATCTAAGTATGTGTATATGTGTGCGGTGCGCGCACACAAGATAATACACACGCACCGCGCAGAGAGCTCTTGACGTTCTCGCCATTATGAGACTCTCTTGTGTATATGTGTGTGTGTTGTACTGTACTGCAGTGCGCGAGAACAGCGAAAGGCGCGCGCATATATGAAGGTTTTACTCCGATTTTACGCAAGGCATTCACTCTATTGAGGCGGCACACAACTGCAGCGGCGCAGCTACTCTCCTTAACTTGCCAACGCCGCTGCTGCTGCACTTCTATGTGTATGTGTGTATGAGTGTATATCAGCTGAAATAAGGCCTGAGAATGTAACGGCTAGGCTGAATTTTTTTGCTCTAATGACAAACTATAAAATGTGCCGCGTGACGCACGTTCGAACAATGTATCCTACAAATTGGATCGAACATTTTTATTATCTCTCTCTCTCTCTCTCACTCGCTCCGGCAAGAGCTAAGCTCTTGCTCGTATAGATATATACGCAGTGTATTATAGGACTGCAATAGCTTGTGTGCAGCTGGCATATAGGTACGTATATATCACCAGGCACCTATATATTATTATCCATTATAACGGCCGAAGGGAAAAAAGTCGCATCGACGACAGGAGAACAAAAAATTGCAAACGAGAAGTATAAATATGCAAATAATATCCTTGTTACAGGACCTATGCGCGCAATTATTAACTTTCCTCGCGCGTCTCGTGCTGTATATTATAGAGAGCACGGGAGTATATATATAGGCGTTACATTACCTCCGCGTGTATATAGTGACGCACACACATGTGCTGCTGATCGCGACGCAGCTCGAGATGCGAAAAGCGCAGCGCAGCACGGAGCTTACATAACGCGCGCGCTCGACTTTTACGGGCGGAAAAAACGTCGTGGTCGTCGTCGTCGTCGTTGGCGCACAATTGGCAAACTTTTTTGCTCTCTCACTATTGGAGCGTATACAAGAATGTATATTATACATTTTGCGATATACGTATTATAAACCCGTGGTGCGCGTGCCGATACTTACATACACACACATAAACGGCATTTGTATAATAGTGTGAAATAGGAAATGAGTAACTTTACATAAGCCATCCCCCCGCGCTTCGGATGTGTTCGCATAATATATAACTATTTATTTTACGCTCGATCGAAAATCGAGAAATGTCCGCGCGCGTGAGCACGATATAACACACATAAAGGTAAGACGCGCGCGTCACGTTGTAAATCGAAGCATATTTTCCCCGCTTTCAGATTCCTTTTGTGGCTTTTTTTATTGCACATCGTGCACAGAGCGCAGGCACGAGCCGAGGCTGCACACTACTGCTGCCGCTGCGGTCAATACCTATATATCGACAATATATATAAAATTGCTATCCTTTTTGTTATATAGGAGCGCGTAACGATAAACGCGTCGATGTATACGCGGCTTTGGGGAGCAGCTTACTTTATGCAAGAGATTTTTGAGGAAATAGCCTGTGTGTCTTTTACAATGGAGAAAGACTTAGACAGCTGATCGCGCGACTGGAGAAAGAATATCTAAATGCAGATTTGCCGCGGCCACTGCACTTATTGCATATTATTACGCTCGCCTAGCTGCCCAATTGCAATCTCTCGACTTTGTGCACAAAAAAAAAAGAAAAAAAAAGAAATTAAATAATTTTCGTTCTTTGTTCTCGCTCCATATAAATGTCGCACGGGACTTGGCATTAAAGTGCCATCGCGAGCTCACTTTCGATGTGTGCTCGCAAGTATGTAGCATATATGTAAAAAAAAGTGCAGATTTAACGACACGCGTATATAGTACGTAGACGCGTATAACTGCATGTACATATAGAGCGCGAGAGAGAGAGACGTACGTACACGAGTCTTCAAATAACTTTCACCGTTGGTTGCGTTTCGATACTTTTTGCCGCCGCTGCTGCTGCTTTTGCTTTGGCTCGCGCTATCTCTATATAGGATATATATTCGCAGGACGATCAGCACACACATGCACACACTTAAAATAACGTATGCAACAAAGACCGCATGAAAAAAGTGAAAACACAAAGAAAAAAAACGCCGAAGCCGCGCCACGTGCGCGCGCGTGAACCGCTCAAAACTGCACTTTGTGGCGTGCATGTCGAAGTGCATTTTCGCGGCAAAATGTATAATGGTATTCTTCGGATGAAGCTATTTATCGTTGTTGTTGTTATTATTATCTTTATACCACTCGGCAATTTTTTTCCTTATAGCTGCTGCTGCTGCGTCTCTGCGCGTCTAAAGTTGAACTGCAGCAGCGCAGCAAGCTACTACTACTGACCACTTCCAGCTACATACTCGTTGCTCGTGAGCTCGTTTTATTTTTTAGCCCAATTTCGCGCTCGCGCGTAAGTATAATACGTTTCAGAAGTAGCATAAAGAGACACACACCGACTGCGGAGAGCGAGAGTGTGCAGAACGAGAGAGAGAGAGACTCGCCCGCCGCGCGCTAATAACCAATTCTCTCACGAAAATTTTTGTTTCGCGCGCTCGCAAGCGCGATTATTTGTAAAGTGAGAGCACATGCGTTACACACATTATATTATATTATTATATTATTATGCTTATACATATACCTATATATATCTATACACTGGCGCGCACGCGAGCGCGTCACGCGTGTACGTCTCTCTCTCGTGAGCAGTAGCAGCAGCTCCTTCTGCTTCTTTTTTTTCCTTAAACTTTTTTCCTCTCTTATTTGATGCAAAAATTTTTAGCTTTTTATTATTATAAAAGTGAAAGCACGGCAGACGCAGACGCAGTCGCGCGAGCTTTGCCGCACTGGCCTCACGTACATACACGCGTATATAATATAACGAGAGCACGCGATATATCGGTCAAAAAATAATTTCTTTTCTTGCATTATTATACACGTAAGCGGGACTTTTATTTTTAGAAGTTTTTTGGGGGGCGAGCTCTTTTGTGGGGTTTGTTTTTTTTTTTGGTACGTTACATACGTACACATAAAATGTTCAATATATATCACGAATGCCGTACGGCGCGCGAGATTATTATACAAGTGGCGCAGGAGAGGGCCTTTTACAATGGAAAATACGTAAAAGGGTTATACATGCATGTAATACGACAACAATCGAGCTTAATACACGTATATTATATGCACTTTAACGAGGCAAG